AGCTCTGTTTGAGCAACTGCTGCGGCTCCGGTCCTCTGTGGCGCCCATCCCCGCTCAGGCCCCAGCTCAGCCAACTGCCTGGCTGGCCTCATCGCCCACCTCCTGCCCACACCAGACCACCAGGTCCACCCGGCCCAGTCTCCCACCTTCAGTCGCACAGATCCGGGCTCCCGCCTCCTGCCCGCACCAGAACAGAGCTCGTCGAGCCCGCTGCCCTGCCTCTTGTGGTATCATTTAACCCTGTAAAAGCATCTGCAGGACACATACTGTATCAACAGAGTGGGTCAAGAGCCTGATAGGAGACACTCAAAGTTGTTCCCCACAAGCTCCAGAAACTGCCCACCCAGAGCCTCCTCTAAGTGAGCCACAGGGGGGTGACCAGCCTGGCTCAGAGGCCAGAAGCTCCCCAGCAGCATGACAGCAGTGGACACACGAGCCTGGGGTTACTAGCACTCAAACCCAGAGGGAAAGCAGAGCATGTAAAGGGGCCCAGTGAGTACAGTGGATGAGCGCTAGAAGCAGCCTCTCCCGGGACCCAGAATTCAGAGACTAAGACCGCAGCGGTCTGGACGACACTGGGCCACAGCACAGGTTGCTAGGTAGCGCATGCTTCCCAGAGCCAGCTTTGTCATGTCTCATCGGCCATTGCAGGCGGTACATATTCCAATCCATCACAGAGATGGAAGCTGGGGCAATGCACTGCTTAGGACCTGCCCCGCAGTCTGGCTGGCGTAGCAGCACATCTCAGACCCTGTTCCTGTGAGCTCATCACTTCTGTCAGCCTGAGAAAGGAAGGGAACTGCACCAAGAGAGAAACCTCAACATCAGATAGGTGGTTAGGAAGGGGCTAGGAAGACAGCAAGAAAATGGAAATCTAAGTGGGCAGCTTCTATAGTCTTGGGTTAAGCCCTTTCGTCCCCTTCCCTCCATCTTCCTTCCTATGTCAGCCTCTGGGTCCCATCTCCTCACTCACAGCCGCACTGCAGTACTCCTAATAATAACTACTCCACATCACCTCGGCTGCCCCTCCCTGCTGGCCAGAGCAGGAGGAGGCAGCCAGCCCAGCCACCACCCTGCTGGCTCCCCACACAGCCCGGCTCCCAGCCTGCCTGGCTCCCAGCCCCCTTCCCTGTGGGTCCCATATGTGCTTCTCCCCTTGCCCCTGGCATTCTTGCGCACACAGTCAGGCCAGTAAGGGGCCTGGTCACATCAGGTTGTATGTTTTCTTAGCTAAGACCCTTATCTTTTCTGGGTCTTGGTTTCTTCATCTACAACATGAAGGCACGAACTGTGGTGCCCTCATGCCCCGGGAGCCCACAAGTCCCTGGAGGAAGACAGTAAGCCTGTCAAGGGCATGCTAACCCTGGACAAGATGCGTGAAGGAGAGCAGGAGGGGCTGTCTGACAGTGAGCTCAGTGAAGCCCAGAAGAAGCTTAAGTAAGACAGTAGCTAAAGGTTAAGCTTAATGAAATCTTACAGGGTAAAAAATCTGAAAATGGATCATCTGGAAGCCCACTACAATTCTATTTGCTCTCCAGCCAGACTTCACATAAACAGGTTCATTTTGACCTCCACTTCCACCTGGTCTCACTTACAAGGTTCCCTTAAATATGGGCAGACCTTGAGCGATTTCCATGCATTCTGCATGGACCAAACACCTCTATTCCAAAAAACTGTATCCCTGACTTGAAGAGAGAAAGCAGGGACCATTCCTACGTTGGAAAAATGGGGGCTCAAAAAAAGGTCACACACAAGGCAGGGGAGCTGAAAATAGAACCCAGGAAGCCTTTAGCTACCTCCCAGTTTAGTGCTCAAGCCATCCCAGGCCTTCCAGGGGGAAGACAGGAGTTACAGTGTTGCTATAAAGAGACCAGAATGAGGGCAGGGGATCTGGGGTGGAAGAAGAGTCACTGCCAGTGTCACGTACCATCGGAGCCTAGCTACAGCCCTCTACACAGCAGTGCGCTGCAGAGTGATGAGCTAATCGGTCTCCAAGGAATAACTCTTTCCTGCCCTGGACAGCTGGATCAAGGACAAACACTCCTTCAGTTAAAAAAAAAAAAAAAAAGCTCCTGAGAACAGCAGTTGTTCCTGTGGTTATGGATACATTCCAGAACAGTGCCTGTTCCACTGCCGAATGTGGCAGTTAACCCCTACAGGGGCACAACAGGCTGGTTCTGGGTGGCACCTGAATAACCATTTCAGGACAACTGAAACGCCCAAGGACACAACTAAGGAAGCCTGCATGAGGACAGGACTTGAACTCAGAAAGCCTGCTAATTTGTCCTCTTGTAGACTCCAGCAGGGTAGACATCCCTGAAGGTCTCCCCCCTAACCCAGCAGTCATTTCCTAGAACATTCGGCCAATCCTCACCCAGTGCTGAACCCCTGCTACACTGGGCTGCATAGATAGTTCCCAGGCCTGCCCATAAGGGGTCCTAATAGCTGAGATGAGACGGGAGGCCCCCAAACCAAAGCCTCCTCTGACTGTCACCCCCTTCCTCCTCAACCATGGCATGGGTCGGAGTCTACAAGACACTACCTCTGCTCTCACTCCTGTCCTTTTGGCCTGGTTATCAACCATCTAAGGAATCCTCTTGGTATATAGCCAGCACTCCTGGCATCACATCCCTTCCCCTCGCCCCTCAGGGCCCGGCTTTTCTCTGCCAAATCTTCATCCATAGACTGCACTGGGCCCGCCCCACCGCCTCGAGGTCCTAGGGAGTGTCTGTATCCCAGCTTCTTCCTGCTCAGTTCCTTGCTGGCTCTCCACTCTCCCTCCACTGCTGGGGCTTTATACTGCCAGAGATTCCCCATCAGCCCTGCTTTCCACCCTTACCCTAGGGAATTCCTTTACTCTTTCTGTTCCCACTTTGTTGACCCACACAAGCAATGGCTTGAGGTCCCGGAACTTTTCCTATGAAACCAGAGCAGGTACCTGGTTTCCATCAATATTCTTTAAGAAACCCTGGGCTGTGAAAGAATCACTCACTGCAGGGTGCAGCCCCTTCCTCATTACCCCCTTCCATTTTCACTCAATTTAGTCTCCCCAATGTACACTATATCCTTGCCTCCTACTTTTGAAGCTTATGTCGCTAAACTGCTCCAGGGCTGAGACTGGTAGGGCTCAGACTCAGTACCTTTCACACATCACAAAACCCGCAGTTAAGCCTGGATGGCACAGAACAAGCCGGAAAAGTAGGAATCACCCAGTGTTCTTCTGCCAACGTCTTTATTCCTGTCTCGAGTGGGGCTTCTACATTCTCTGCGGATTCTAGTCCCCTGCATCCAATTCCTTCCAAGCTCATTATACAGCACACACTTTACTCTCATTCTTTTCACCCCACATTCTTAGGAACCCACACCGACTCCCAGCGCGTTGTGAGTGGCATGACACACACAGGTCCCTGTCCCTACCTCCGCTTGTACTCGTCCCGCTCCCGCTTCACTTTGGCCAGCACGTTGTAGAGCGCTCGGATCTCGGGGGTGATGGTGTCGATCTGGACGCCCACCCCATCCGGGTGCACCCACGACAAGCCAGGTCCTTGTACCAGAGTGGGCTCCAGTCCCGGCCCGAGCCGGCGGGCGTGCGAGAAGGACCAGATGGTGCCCGGCATGAAGCGGGCCGATGAGGAGTAGGCGGTGGAGGTGGAGGTAGAGGACGACGAGAGGCTGGCCGCGGAAGGGGCGAGGGGGCCGGCCGGCGAGCGCGCGGGCGAGCCCAGCACCCGCGCAGACGGGCTGCAGACGGCGGCCGGCCGGGCGCCCAGCGGCAGCCCCAGGGGCCGGATGGGGCTGACGAAGCCGGTCTGCACGGCCTGGTCGCGGCGACCCAGGCCCCGCCGGCCCTGCTTACCCTCCTCCAGCGCTTGCTGCAGCTGCTTCTCCAGCAGCCGGTTCCGACGCTCCAGCTCGTGCACCTTGGCCAGGAAGCAGCGGAACCGGAGGTTCAGGGTCTTGAGCACGTTGATGTTGGAGCCCAGGTCATTGCGGAGGGCCATGGCGGCAGGCGGGGCCGGGCCCGGCCCGGGTGGCGAGTAGGCAGCAGGGCCGGCAGGCGAGAGAGGTGCCGGGGGCAAGTCTCCTCCCCCGGCGAAGTGGTCGCCTCCCAGTGGGTCCCCCAGCGGCCCGGCCAGGCCCTGCTGCTCCTGCTGTAGGAGGAAGAGATTGGGGCCGAATAACGGATTCATGGCTGCGCCTTCTGCTGGGAGATGCAGACCGGTGCAGGAGCAGGGATGGAGGGCGAGCCAGAAGAGCCAATGCGGCGCCGGCGGGACAGGGCCGACCAATCAGGCGGCTCGGCGGCGGGGCAGAGGTCAGGAGGCGGGCCGAGGGGGAAGCCAATGACAGGCGCCAATTGGAGGCCGGACCCTAGACCTTTCCGGGTCCGAGGCCGAGCGCAGGGCCGAGGAGAGCCACCGCCTGGAAACCAGCCGGGGTAGCGTAAAGCCCAGGACCCCATGGGTTCTGGTGACAAGCCCATCTCCCCTACACTTCTTGATTTTTGAGACCGAGTCTCACTCTTGCCCAGGCTGGAGTGCAGTGGCGCGATCTTGACTCACTGCAATCTCTACCTCCCGGATTCAAGCAATTCGCCTGCCTCAGCCTCCCGAGTAGCTGGGATTACAGGCACCCGCCACAACGCCTGGCTAATTTTTTGCATTTTGGGTTTCACCACGTTGGCCACGCTGGTCTCGAACTCTGATCTCAAGTGATCAGCCCACCTTGATCTCCCAAAGTGCTAGGATTGCAGGCATGAGCCACCAGGCCTGGCCTTCCCCTACACTTCTGTTGCCCTCCTCTTCCCACAGTGCAAACTCCTGTAACTCTCACTCCAGGGCTCTCCTTTCCTGGGAAGACCCAAGGATGCAGGAGCCTAAAACTGACTTCTCAGTAGCACCCAACCATTCCCTCTCCTCAAAACCCCAGTCCCACCTTCCCATCTCTACCCTTAAAGCAGCAAAGGCAGTATCCAGTTCCCTCAAAAAATACTCAGTGGCCAGAGGTTGTAAAATGTGTATTCAATTTCATGGGCATGCACAGTGCAAAAGGCTTCCTCACAGAGGCAAGAGTTCCAAACCGGTGACAAAGGCAGTGAGCCACCCGTCTAGTTTTCAACCATCTAAGACAGGAGCAGCTGGCTGTTGCCCCTGGACTGAGATTTCCTCCTCTTTGCTGGTGGGGTGTGGGTGGAACTGACAAGAGACACAGTGGGAGACTGAAGCCCCTTGGGGGTGCCATTCTGTTTCTGGAAGGCAGCTTTCTTGAAAGGCTGCTCTGGCAACTGCTGCTTCTCAACCCCCTTGGCCCTTCCAAAGGGCTGACGACCGTCCTTAGGCTTAAGGGTGGCCCGGGTCTTGGATGGGGACAGCACAGCCGGTGTTTCTGTGTCTGTGCCCTTGGGAGGGGCATTCTGCTTGAGGAAGGCAACTTTCTTGGAGGACTGTAATTTAGGTGATCGCTGCTTTAGCTTCCCAGCCACCTTTGGCTCCCTGATCCCTTCAGCTTTTCCAGCTGGCTGACTGCTATCCTGGAGCCTGGAGGAAGCTTGGGTCTTTGTGACAGAAGGTATAGTGGACAGTTCTGAGTCTGCCCCTTTGGAGATGCCATTCAGCTTCTGGGGGGAGGCCTTCTTGGGATGTTGCTGTTTCTGCAGCTGCTGCTTTGCCTTTGCAGCCCTCTTGGCCTTCTTGGCTGGCTGGCTGCTATTCTCAGACTTGGGGATGACCTGAGGCAAGTCTACATTTGTAGGTGTGGTTGTTTCAGAATTTCCTGGGGTTAAAATTAAATAGATCATGTCAGAAAATGGGCCTGGTCACCATATTTTAATATTCTCATATTAAAATATGAGAACTGCCATCTCTTGGCCAGGAGTTCCATACAATTAGGTCAGTACCTAAGAAAAGATTACCTAAATTCCCATTACTTAGTAATTACTTAGTATCACGTCACCTTTACTCAAGTCCTAGTTGAACCTTGTATTAAGAGATCACTGCCACTGGTCATTAGAGAAACGCAAATCAAAACCACATTGAGATACCACCTCACGCCAGTTCGAATGGCAATCATTAAAAAATCAGGAGACAACAGGTGCTGGAGAGGATGTGGAAAAATAGGAACACTTTTACACTGTTGGTGGGAGTGTAAATTAATTCAACCATTGTGGAAGACAGTGTGGCGATTCCTCAAGGATCTAGAAATAGAAATATCAGTTGACCCAGCAATCCCATTACTGGGTATACACCCAAAGGATTATAAATCATTCTATTATAAGGACACATGCACACATATGTTTACTGTGGCACTGTTCACAATAGCAAAGACTTGGAATCAACCTAAATGCCCATCAATGATAGACTGGATAAAGAAAATGTGGCACATACACACCATGGAATACTATGCAGCCATAAAAAAGGATGAGTTCACATCCTTTGTAGGGACATGGATGAAACTGGAAACCAACATTATCAGCAGACTGACACAAGAACAGAAAATCAAACACAGCATGTTCTTACTCATAAGTGGGCGTTGAACAATAAGAACACACAGAGACAGGGAGAAGAACATCACACACTGGGGCCTAAGGGGTAGTGGGTTAGGAGAGGAATAGCAGGGGGTGGGGTATCAGGGAGGGATAGCATTAGGAGAAATACCTAATGTAGATAGATGACGGGGTGATGGATGCAGCAAATCACCACCATGGCATGTGTGTACATATGTAACAAACCTGCACAATCTGCATGTGTACCCCAGATCTTAAAGTGTAATAAAAAAGAACTTAAAAAAAAAGAAAAAGACAATCAATATGCACACATTAAATATTTGTTGAACTTCTAAAAAAAAAAGAAAGAAAAAGAGATCACTGCCTATAGGCAAGGCATGGTAGCTCACACCTCCAATTCCAGCACTTTGGAAGGCCAAGGCAAGTGGACTGCTTGAGGCCAGGAGTCCAAGACCCAGCCTAGCCAACATGGCAAAACTGTCTCTACTAAAATTATAAAAATTAGCCGGGCATGGTGGCACACACCTATAATCCCACCTACTTGGGAGTCTGAGGCACAAGAATCAGTTGAACCTGGAAGGCGGAGGTTTCAGTGAGCTGAGATTGTAGCACTGCACTCTAGCCTGGGTGATAGAGCAAGACTCAGTCTCAAAAAAAAAAAAAAAAAAAAAGATCAAGAGATCACTGCCTATTCTTGAGCCAAAAGGTTGTTTGTTTTTGCTCTTCTTGTCCAGGCTGAAGTGCAATGGCACGATCTTAGCTCAGCACAATCTCTACTTCCCAGGTTCAAGTGATTCTCCTGCCTCAGATGCCAAGTAGCTGAGATTACAGGCTTGCACCACCACTCCTGGCTAATTTTGTATTTTTAGTAGAGGCAGGGTTTCTCCATTTTGGTCAGGGAGGTCTTGAACTCCCGACCTCAGGTGATCTGCCCACCTTGGCCTCCCAAAGTGCTAGGATTACAGGCAGAGGCCAGGGCCAAGCTGGGCCAAAAGACTTTTACAGGAAGCTGTGCCCCCTTGAGAATAGGAGTAACAAAATGCTATAAGGAAGAGATGAATCTCAGGGTTTGGTTTTTTTATTTTGGTTTTTTTTTTTTTTTGAGACAGAGTTTCACTCTTGTTACCCAGGCTGGAGTGCAATGGCGCGATCTCGGCTCACCGCAACCTTCGCCTCCTGGGTTCAGGCAATTCTCCTGCCTCAGCCTCCTGAGTAGCTAGGATTACATGCACGCGCCACCATGCCCAGCTAATTTTTTGTATTTTTAGTAGAGACGGGGTTTCACCATGTTGACCAGGATGGTCTCGATCTCTTGACCTCGTGATCCACCCGCCTCGGCCTCCCAAAGTGCTGGGATTACAGGTGTGAGCCACCGCACCCGGCCTTTGGTTTTTTTTGAGACAGAGTCTCGCTCTGTTGCCCAGGCTGGAGGGCAGTGGTGTCATCTCGGCTCACTGCAACCTCTGCCTCCTGGGTTCAAGTGATTCTCCTGCCTCAGCCTCCTGATGATTACAAGCATGTGCCACCACGGCTGGCTAATTTTTGTATTTTTAGTAAAGACAGGGTTTCACCATGTTGACCAGGCTGGTCTCGAACTCCTGACCTCGAGGGATCCACCTGCCTCAGCCTCACAAACTGCTGGAGTTACAGGTGTGAGCCACCGCGCCCAGCCTCACAGGGTCTTCTGAACAAATCTGAAGCACTAGGCTTTACGTAAAGCCTATTTTTTATTTTTTATTTTTATTTTTTGAGATGGAGTTTTGCTCTTGTTGCCCAGGCTGGAGTGCAATGGTGCAATCTCGGCTCACCACAACCTCCACCTCTCGGGTTCAAGCAATCCTCCTGCCTCAGCCTCCTGAGTAGCTGGGATTACAGGCATGCATCATCACACCTGGCTAATTTCGTATTTTTATTAGAGACGGGGTTTTTCCATGTTGGTCAGGTGGTCTCGAACTCCTGACCTCAGATGATCCACCCACCTCAGCCTCTCAAAGTGCTAGGATTACAGGCGTGAGCCACTGTGCCCAGCCTAATTTACTTTTTTATTTACCTTTTTTTTTTTTTTTTTGTATATTTAGTAGAGATATTTTGTTTTTGTTTTTTTTTGAGGCAGGGTGTCGATGCAGTGGTGCCATAATAGCTCACTGCAACCTCAAATTCCTGGGGCTCAAGGGATCCTCCTGCCTCAGCCTCAGAGTAACTGAACTATAGACAAAGTCTCCCTATGTTGCCCAGACAGGTCTCAAACTCGTGGTCTTAAGTGATCCTACTGCCTCAGCCTCCCAAAGTGCTGGGATTTACAGGCATGAGCCACCACGACACCTAGCCTATTTATTTTTTAAATTAAAGAAGTTTTTTTCCATTTGGATTGTGATGAAGTGCAGGATAATTAAGATTCCCACAACTACCAGAGACAAGCTAGGAGAACATCAACAAGGACTAACATTTTATGTACTTTTTAAGTTATAGCAAATTTTACTTTTTCTTTTCTTTTTTGAGACAGAGTCTCACTGTTGCCCAGGCTGGAATGCAATGGCAGGATCTCACTCCAACCTCCACCTCCCAGGTTCAAGCGATTCTCCTGCCTCAGCCTCCCGAGTACCTGAGACTACAGGCACAGGCCACAATGCCTGGCTGATTCTTGTATTTTTAGTAGAGACGGGGTTTCACTATGTCAAACTCCTGACCTCAGGTGATCTCCCTGCCTTGGCCTCCCAAAGTGCTGGGATTACAGGCATGAGCCATCACGCCCAGACAAATTCTACTGTTTATGAAGTATCTCTTCTCTCCCTCTTCCAACTAAACCCAGGGATATATCCCAGTAAGCAGCACTCTTGTTTTTGCTTTTGAGACAGAATCTCACTCTGTCACCAGGCGCCAGGCTGGAGTGCAGTGGCATGATCTCAGCTCACCACAACCTTCGCCTCCCAGGTTCAGGCAATTCTCCTGCCTTAGCCTCCTGAATAGCTGGAACTACAGACATGTGCCACCACGCCCAGCTAATTTTTGTATTTTTTAGTAGAGATGGGGTTTCACCATTTTGGCCTGGATGGTCTCGATTTCTTGACCTCGTGATCTGCCTGCTCGGCTTCCCAAAGTGCTAGGATTACAGGTGTGAGCCACCGCGCCTGGTCAGCGGCGCTCTTAAGGCTGTTTCAGAAAACCCCACCCTTCCCTTGAGATCCAGGCCAGACTCCTCAAGATGGCTGAGAAAACAATCTGCAATGAGTGTGATGGGCTCAAAGAACTGCTGACAGTTCTGTGGAGCTCTGTTCCAACCCAGTGCTGAGAATGCTGGACCAGCAGAGGCATAGTACCAGTAAGTCAACCTGTGCCAAGAAGGAAAAGAAACCACAACCTGCATTTGGAATGCATTTAGTGCTGAACAACTGCAGCCACTTGGCAGAATACAGGAAAAGGCCTCCATCCTTATGAACCCTTTAACCTATTCACACGGACCCAGCACTTAAAAACAATTCTAGCTGGAATGAAAGGCTTCTCTCATCCAAGCATGCAAAGGCTGGAGTAAGGGATGCATGGATCTTTCCTTTCCCGAACTTCTGTCACTCCATAAAGCCTCCTGAAAGGTGGAAAGAGCAAAAGTGGTGACGAAGGGTAGAAAAACATCACTTACCTGTCTGGAACTGGGGGATAGAATTGGAGAATTTCTTGAACTTGGCAATAAAGAAGCCATCCATATTGTGGGTATGAGGGTAGAAGCGTCGGGTAGAACGCAGACTGGGGTGGAAGCGCCTTTCTCGAAAGCGGGTAAAACCTTCCTGGCCAAAGTCTAGGCCTGTGGGCACCAGTCGCACATTCCTCTTTTTCAGAGCGTAGTCGACCACCCACTCATTCTCTTCCACCTGGATGCGAGGGGAAGACAAAGACAGAAGGGAGGAAAAAGCAGAGCTGGAACTTAAGGGAGCTCTAATGGGCAAAGAGCCCTCCCAGCCCAGCCTCCCGGCTCTGCCATGGCGGAGTCTCACCATGATAGAACAGGTGCAGTAAACGAGGTAGCCTCCTGTCTTGGAGGTGGCATTGACAGAGTCAATAGCACTCAGGAGCAACTCCTTCTGGAGGTGAGCACAGCGCAGAATGTCCTTCTCATCCTGTCCCAAACGGAGACCCAAAGGTAGCCTCAGGAGGGGAGGAGAGTCCCCACCCCTCTTTCCAGCTCTACAAGACCCAGCCAAGGCCTCTCAGGGGCCCACCACCCAAATCCTCACCTTGTTAGTCTTCACAGCTGGGTCCTTGGAGATGACCCCAGTGCCACTGCAGGGAGCATCCAGCAGTACTCGGTCAAAGCCTCCCACCACCTGGGGAAAAGAAACAGATGAATCAGATGTCTCTTCTGCAACCGGCAGTGCACCATTTACTAGGGTCAAGTCTAAACATTGAGGTCAGGAAGGGTGAAGGTAAAGTGGAAGAAGCCTCATCAGGAGACACTGCCCAAGCCTCACCTTGGGGAACTGACGCCCATCATAATGGCTGATAACAGTGTTGGTGACTCCCAGCCGGTGCAAATTGCCCACAACACTCTTGAGCCGCTCAGCATTGGCGTCATTGGCAAGGATCACACCCGTGTTCTTCATCAGCTGAGCTAAAGGGAGGGCAGTAACAGTGCTGATCAGCCGGTTACGCCATCTCCACACTTGCTCCCACCCTCCTGTCTGGGAATCCACATGAGAAGCATCATCACCTCAAGGCAACTTCACTCCCAAGAAGCCGGCCCACTGTATAGGCTGATCCACTCTGCACTAGCCCCTGGTGGTTGGCAAGTCTACCGATGTGGTTTTCCTATTTTTACTGAACACCTGTCTGGTACATACTAAATTACTTCTTTTAAGTAATAGCAGCTTAATAAAAGTTATGACTACTGATTATGTGCTGAACACTGCCAAGGACTTCTAAATGCATCATCTTAACACTCACAATCCAAGCATAATACAGGCCTGACCCAAGCACAATTACCATCCCATTTTACGGAAGACAAAAGAGGACCCATGGTCAGATGATTAGTAAGTGGCACACCGGCACTGGAATCCAGGCCAACTCCAGAAACTGCTCCTCACCACTCTGCTAGCTGCCTGTACATTGCATTCCGTGAGCACTAGAAAGTCAGCAACCCCATCTACTTTCAAAAGCAAGAGAGGCCAGTGAATCCCACCTGCCTGCCCCTCTCTCATACCAATGTAGCTGGTCTTTCCTCCAGGGGCAGAACACATGTCCAGGATCCGCTCATGTTCCTGGGGTGCCAAGGCCATGACAGGCAACATGCTAGAAGCTCCCTGCAGCATGTAGTGCCCAGCCAGGTACTCGGGGGTAGCACCTGTGGAGAAGGAGCACCCTGTGACATGCAGTAGGGACAGGAACAGAGGTGGAAGGGCTCTTGGGTACGGGAGACTTACCAATGGGCACAGAAGAATCATATACCACTAGTCCAGTCTTTGACCACTTGCCCAGGGGATCCAGGTTAACCCCACGATTGATTAGAGCCTGAAGAGGAATGAAGATTTTTTTTTTTTTTTTTTTTTTTGAGATGGAGTCTCACTCTGTTTGCCCAGGCTAGGGTGCAGTGGCACAATCTGGGCTCACAGCAACCTCCACCTCCTGGATTCAAACGATTCTTCCTCGTGCCTCTGCCTCCCGAGTAGCTGGGACTAAAGGTATGCACCACCACATCAGGCTAATTTTTGTATTTTTCATAGAGAGAGGGTTTCACCTTGTTGGCCAGGCTGGTCTCAAACTCCTGACCTCAGGTGATCCGCCTGCCTCGGCCTCCCAAAGTGCTGGGATTTCAGGCATGAGCCACCACGCCAGACCAGGATGAAGATTTTAATAACCTCATAGGCTACTCTTCCCAGAAAACAGATAAAGACATTAAAAACATGGTTCATAAGAGCACGGCCCATGGCCCCACAACTCCTAGAGCGCTTACTGAGAACACAGTCATCATGGACTCATTGAGCAGTTTCTCTCTCCCACCCCATCCTATGGTGCCCTTTTTTCTTAACCTCAGGCTCCTAACTCAAGGTGTGAACTTCATTCCAACGGTGCAGGATGCCACCTCCTATTATTTCCTGGAAGTGGCATCTGATTTTCTAAGAGGCCGAGCCCCTCCCCCATCCAAAAAATTTAGTAATATTGGTTACAGCACATAACATTATTAGGCTTTCTTTACACCAAGAGATACACAACACATACAACCAAACAACTGACTTCAGAACAGGGGGTCTTTACCCTGGGGCCCCTGAACCCTTGGAAATGACTTCAAAATACTGAGTGTGCATATGTGCATATGTCTTTTTTTTGCAGTGAGAAATTATGTTTCCCCAGCTCCTCAATGATCTTCCACTTTTCTTGGGAGGCAGCACGCTCATCCTGCAGTCTCATCCCAGTCACAGGGAGCAGAGGCCGGATGGAGGGATGAACTTCCCATTTCCCAGAGGTCCTATGCCCCCAGCCTGCCAAAGACACCAGGCCTATGGGTTTGCCTCCCGGGATCTTGCTTAGGTGCTAACGCCCCACCCAGTCAGGGTGGCATAGGGGAACCTCTGGAGTTGGCAGCAGTCAGTCCCCTTCTGAGGTGAGCAAACCTCAAAAGCCACACCTTACCTGGGCAAGGTCTCGGCGTCGGGTTTTCAAGGTATTGGTCCGGAGGGTGACGGGCCGAGGCACCTCATTAGCTTCTAAGAACTCCACCAGCTTCGGGAAAGACAGCAGGGAATAAGTGAGGCTGGCTAAGGAGCTCAGAGGAGGGAGACAAGGAGGCTCGAACATCTTCCTTACACAGGGTAAGGTGGTGAGAAAGAAAAGCAGAGGGGGCATTCTGGCAATCTAGTACCTCAGACAGAGGAAAGAGGTCCACGAGCTTGCCAAGCAGGAAGTCTCCATAGGAGTAGTAAGTGGCCAGATCCTTCTTGAGCCGGTTCAGGTATTCAGAACGAGACCGCCCTTCTTCCCGCTGAGCCCCAAAATCACGCAGGATTCCCACGATATCCTGGATCCGCTTGTGAACTCGTTGCAGGTCTGGAGCCTGGGCATGTGGGCCTGTTAAGGAACTGTGTCATGATGTCCTGGGGCCTGGAAATCCCTCTCCTAAGCACCTTCCTCCTACTGCTCACTCTGCCCTGCAAGGATATCCTGCTCCATCTCCCCAGCAGGGGGCAGCACAAACGGCTCCTCATCCACATTGATCTGCAGGCCCCCATCTGCCTCCTCCTCTTTTGGGGGGCCTGACTCAGAGGTCACTTCTTCCTCTTCCTCTTCATCCTCTGTCTCCTCTTCACTCCACTGGACCCTAGAAATAGGTCCAGGAACAGAGTGATTCACAGACCAAAACAAACACCTCCTCCTTCCTCACAGCTTCCCCCACCCCAGCTGCTGCCTATGCTCCATCCCAACAGCTTCCAAAACTCACCCAGCAGCAGCTTCCCGGGCCTTCTGCTTTCGAGCAGCTTTTTCAATGGGCAGCAACTGAAGAGACAAGGGCTGTTAATACAGGCCTGCCTTTCCATCAGCCCATGAAGCACTTTCTATCTCTGTATCTTATTTTTTTCTGCTAAATAAAAATGTTAACGCTTGCTCTCAGAAGGAAATAGAGAAGCAAGGAAATGAAAATAAGATTCGCACAATATTGATCACTGTTGAAACTAAGTAATGAATTAGCCAAGCGTGGTGGCGCGCATCTATAATCCCAGCTACTTGGGAGGCTGAGGCAGGAGAATTGCTTGAACCCAGGATGTGGAGGTTGCAGTGAGCTGAGATTGAGCCACTGCACTCCAGCCTGAGCGACCGAACAAGACTCCATCTCAAACAAAAAAAAAAAGAAAGAAACTAAGTAATGAATGAAAGGGTTCATTACACTTTTTTTCCTACTCCTTTTCTACATTTTTCACTTTTTCATTAAGAAAAAAAAACTTGAAACACAAATACCTGTATGTATAAAAAGGGTTAAGGACAGACATGGTGGCTCGCACCTGTCATCCCATCATTTGGGAGGCTGAGGCAAGGCGGGCAGATCATGAGGTCAGGAGATCGAGACCATCCTGGCTAACACAGTGAAACCCTGCCTCTACTAAAAATACAAAAAATTAGCCGGGCGTGGTGGTACACACCTGTAGTCCCAGCTACTCAGGAGGCCAAGACAGGAGAATCGCTTGAACCCGGGAAACAGAGGTTGCAAAAAAAAAAAAAAAAAAAGACAAAAAACTGCCCTTGGCCACCATTTTGCCATTTTTTCCAGACTTACTGTATATTTTTCACATAATGCATTTTCAGGTTTGTTTCTTGCTTTTGATACTTCAGTTAGATCACAAGCATTTTCACAGACATAATGACCAGTGTTAACTACATCATATGCATGAACCATAATTTACTTAGGCAGATCGTATATTTTGGAAGTTTCCAGAGTTTCTGCCATTATGATCCACATGGTGCCTGCAAACCTAATAGTGACTCTGTAGATACACGGCATTGCAGGAAAGGGTGCACAGGGAAACTTTTTTTATTCTATACAGTTCTAATAATACATTCACACACTAATTTTATAATAATTTCCTGCACCTCAGTAAATAACTCTTTGCCTACATTTTGGATCATCTCCCTTAACAGGGTATTACTATGTCAAAAGGATTCAGTTTTTTTTTTTTTTTTGAGACGGAGTTTCACTCATGTTACCCAGGCTGGAGTGCAATGGCACAATGTCGGCTCACCGCAACCTCCGCCTCCTGGGTTCAGGCGATTCTCCTGCCTCAGCCTCCTGAGTAGCTGGGATTACAGGCACGCAACACCATGCCCAGCTAATTTTTTGTATTTTTAGTAGAGATGGGGTTTCACCATGTTGACCAGGATGGTCTCGATCTCTTGACCTCGTGATCCACCCGCCTCGGCCTCCCAAAGTGCTGGGATTACAGGCTTGAGCCACCGCGCCCGGCCAGCTTGTTTTTTTTTTTTTTGACAGTGTCACTCTGTCATCCAGGCTGGAGTGCAGTAAAGATCACAGGTCACTGCATCCTTAACCTCCCAAGCTCCAGTCATCTTCCCGCCTCAGCCTCCTGAGTAGCTGGGACTACAGGCGTATGCCACCACACCAGCTAATTTTTTTTTTTGAGACAGAGTCTCACTTTGTTGCCCAGGCTGAAGTTGCCCCAGGCTGGTCTCAAACTCCTGAGCTCAGGTGATCCACCTGGCCTCCCAAAGTGCTAGGAATACAGGTGTGAGCCACTGCACTCAGCCAATTTTTTAATTTTTTGTAGATATGGGTTTACCCTATGTTGTCCAAGCTGGTCTCCAACTCCTGGTCTCAAGAAATCCTCCTGCCTTAGCCTCCCAAAGTGCTGCGATTATAGATGGGAGCCACCATACCCAGCCAAAAGGAACACATTTTTCAAAGTTCTGAGTTAACTGCTTTATAAAAACAGTGCCTACACGTCTATTCCCATCGGCGGAGCATAGCATTGTCCGTCTTCCCACATCCACATCAGCAAAGCCTTCCAGATTTTTTTAAATGCTCTATCCTACAGCAGTTTCAAACTTGCAGGTGCACTGGGAGAAGATGTAAGGCAGTAGGGAAACAGTGATGGAGCACAAAAATTGTTTTCCTCTAATCAGGCTTATCCTTGTCACTAAAAAATAGTCTCAAAAATCTAGAAAAAAACTAAATAGCAAGGATCTTCTCTGAATGCCCAGAGAGATGAATCTCACCTCTTCACCTTCCTCCTCATTCTCGGAGTTGGAGTCAGCTCCATAGTCATCTACCATATCAGCATCACTGTCCTCGGAGTCCCAGAGGTCCCCATGGTTCACCACATCATCTTCTTCAGAGTCTTCCTCTTCCTCATCACTGCTAGGTGCTGGGCGCTTCTTGCCTCGAGCAGCATTAAATAGGGACTGGGTTCCCTTCTTATCAGCTGTCTGGACAGCTCCTGCAGAGATCCCTAAGGGTTTGAAAAGTTCTGGACTAATGGCAGCCACACATTCCTTGGCCCCACACCCTGGGAGCCTATACTTTCTACCCCTCAGAATGTCCTTTGGCTGTTCCCTTCTGGAAATATTCAGCAAGTCCTTCCCTACCCAGGACCCAGAGGACTCCACATGTAGTATCCAGCTCTTAGTTTCACTGACCTTGTGGTAGCTTTCCAGGCAACGGCTTGGCCTCAGGAGACTTATTTGTCTCAGGGAATTCAGCAGAGCCCAACCTCCTCTTGGCTGCTCTGAAAAGATACAAGAGAAACAAGCAGTGAAGAAATGGGAAGATACTTCCAGGCTCTGCCATTTCCACCACAGGGAAATATGAGAGTCCACAATTAACTCTGTGGTCAAAGATGAGCAGTACCAATTTAATCTACTGAAGTCTTGATACCCACACTTACCTCTTTCGAGCACGACTAGACAGCCTCTTGGAATTTTCATCACTTACTGTTTAAAAAAGAAAAATTAGGCAGAATAAGTTACAGGAAACATTAAAAGTAAATGAGGGCTGGGTGCGGTGCCTCATGCCTGCAGTGCCAACGCTTTGGGAGGCCAAGGCGCAAAGATCACGAGGTCAAGAGATCAAGACCATCCTGGCCAACATGGTGAAACCCTGTCTCTACTAAAAATACAAAAATTAGCTAGGCATGGTGGCATGCGCCTGTAGTCCTAGCTACTTCAGAGGCTGAGGCAGGAGAATCGCTTGAACCCGGGAGGTGGAGGTTGCAGTGAGCTGAGATCACACCACTGCACTACAACCCACACTCCGACAAAGCAAGACTCCATCTCAAAAAAAATAAATAAAAGTAAATTAAAAATAAAAAAGGGAATGAAAATAAAAATGGTAAGAGAATTAGTACACTAATTAAAGGGAGGCCATTTGAATCTCAGCCCTGTCATTATATAATAGCTGTACATGAGTTTTTTGAAATGGAGTTTCACTCTTGTCTCCCAAGTTGGAATGCAGTGGAGCAATCTCGGCTCACTACAACCTCCATCTCCCCAGTTCAAGTGATTCTCTTGCCTCGGCCTCCCGAGTATGTGGGACTACAGGCCCGAGCCATCACACCCAGTTAATTTTTGTATTTTTAATACAGACGGGGTTTCACCATGTTGGCCAGGCTGATCTCGACTACCTGACCTCAGGTGATTCACCTGCCTCGGCTTCCCAAAGTGCTGGGATTACAGGCGTGAACCACCATGCCTGGCTATACGAGTTTCTTCACCTCTCAGCATCCACTTCCTTAACAGTGCCTCTCTCACAGGACACTCTAAGACGATGAAGTGATATAACATGACCAACAAGTTCAATATAATGTCCAGCGTTTGGTACCATCTCAATAAACTGGATCCTTTATCCAATGCCCAACACAAACTCCCGGTCCAGTCTTCCACACAGCAGACGACTCGGAGTGACGCCGGTTCCATGCTTTTCCATTTCCATCCCTTCCAAAACGCAAGTCATTGACTGACCCCTCTCTTTCACTGCTTCCTCTTACTACAATGTTACCCATTTTTCAAAACCCATCTTAACAAAAACTTTTACAGTTCTGCATAGGATCTCCCTTCCCCTGAACCCACAATGTTTTAAACCACACTTTTCCTTGCACGAATAGTTGTGTCCGTGTCACATCTTCTCTACAACCTAAACAGTACCTACAATCTCAACGACAGTGTTTCATTCATACCTCCTAGTAACTCACGCACAGAAGACTGAATAGAAAATGAACAGAGACGAAAAAAGAGACGCGGTTATGATACAGAATACTGCAAAAGCTGAGGGATCAGGGGGCCACAACTAATCGTTACCTGCGGGCAAGAATCTGGCGAGTTCTGTCTCGGCGCCCTTCTGCTTCCGGGCCTTTCGGCCTGGCCCCCGCTTCTCCTTCTTCGTAGGGTCCAACTTGCGCCCCATGGTACTGTGGCATACAGAAGTGGGAGAAGAGAGCGTCGTGCGTGTCGGAGGGAATGGCAGAACGCAGGCTCGGCGTATCAGCGCGGGAAAAGGCACAGGCTCAACTCAGCACCCGCGACTCAAGCACCCCCGCTATCCCCCTGGAAGGCCGACCAAACGTCCTCCCACCCGGAAACCCCGGCAGCGCATCCCTCTCCCCACGTCCCAGACCAGGTCAGCGCTGCCACCCTTCGTCCCCCAACTTCCTCTAGACCCACCAGAACGCGGGTTACCGCCTGAGACTGCCCTTCGGGCGGCGCTCCACGTGCACCCCGGAGCTAGCTTTCAGCCCGCATTCGCCACAGAATCGTTCCACGCAGGCGCACGGGTGGCGCTAGCCTCGTGGCTCCGCCTCTTCCGGTTGCGTCCGGTAGGCCGCCGCACCCGGAACTTACGCTTGCCCTGGGAAAGAGCGCGGAGCCGGCGGCGGTGGCTGGCAGGGGGAAATTCGAAGGGGACGCACAGCTTACACCCGTGGGGTGTGGAGGGAGCAATGCGACGAAACCTCTCAGCTTGCCCGCCCTTCCTTCAAGGAGTTAACTTTGAGCCTCATGGCCGGTTTCTGTCAGAAAAGCTGGTGCATGAAAGCCGCACCCTCTCCTCGAACCAGGGCCCGACAGCGGGGTCCTCTCCCTAGCTTGCAGTGCTTTAATCCAGCATCAAGATAATGTAGCTCCAGGCCGGGCGCGGTGGCTCACGCCTGTAATCCCTGCACTTTGGAAGACTGAGGTGGGTGGATCGCCTGAGGTCAGAAGTTCGAGACCAGCTTGGTCAACATGGTGAAACCCCCATCTCTACTAAAAATACAAAAATTAGCCGGGCGTAGTGGCGGGCGCCTATAATCCCAGCTGCTTGCGAGGCTGAAGCAGGAGAATTGCTTGAACCCGGGATGCGGAGGTTGCAGTGAGCGGAGATCGTGCCGCTTCACTCCAGCCTGAGCAAGAGCGAAACCACCTCAAAAAAAGAAAAAAATCATGGAATTCCTTGCCACTTACCTTCTACTCCCAGCCTCCCCCTTTTTAAAATCTTTTACAGAGACGGGGTGTAATGGGTGGGGGGGGGGTCGTCTCTGTCGCCTTGGTTTAAGCGATCATCCTTGCCCCCGCCTTTGTGCTGAGATTACAGGCTCTGAGCCACCGCGCCCCGCCCTACCAGCCCCTTCCTTGACGCTCACACCTGCTCAGTCTCTCGGTTGAGGTGCTGCACTGCACCTCGTTCACAGGGGGCGTCTCAGCCCGAACTCGCTTTCAGGCGAGTCTACGATTAGTTGGGAAACGACGGATTACACGCAAGGCTGATCTGGTCTAGGACGGGAGGAAGGATGAGCTAACCAGGATTTCGGGGTGGGAGGGGGTTTGGTCCGGCCTCCGGGGGTGTTAAATCGAGGCTGTGCTCGTCCACAAATTGCATCCCCATTTTGCACAACTGAGCAAGAAAAACCTCCCTCAGCCTTCCCTGAAACTAACATTAAGGTAGTGGTTAGATGATGTTAAAAACTGTTAAAAGTACTTTACTGGCTTAACTTGACAACCATGAGGTAGATCTCTTTGTTTTATACAAGAGAATTCTGCATCCCACATAAGTTAAACAACTTGTTCAAGGTCACGGAACTATCAAGCTGTGGTCCTCCAATCTTGCAGCCTCTCATTTTCCACAGGTAGAAGCCATCCTTGGCTGGGCACACACTGCACCCACACACAGAACCCAGCTCTTCAGTGGAGTTATCAGGATACCTTAATTTTCAATTATACAGGTGCCGGGCTCCTGCCACACACACTCATCCACCTGCACCTACACCCACACCCACACTGAACCAGAGCACTAAAATACAAGGAAACTTTTATTTTCAATTTTCATCAAGAAATTTGCTGTGGTTTTTTATGCTTTTGGTTTTTTCCTTTTTTTTTTTTTTTTCTACTTTATTTCATTTAGCCGCTCAGTGGCTAAAGCCGCTGGGTTCCTGGTATTAAAAAGATGCCAACAGAGGTAGCTGTGTCTCGCCCAGGGGCCCAGCCCACTCTGAATACCCCCCAAAAAGGAGAAAAGAAAACACAAAATAAACCAACAAAATAAAACCAAAAGGAGGAAGAAATTCAGATCATTTTCTTCAAGCCTGGCAGGAACCCACAACAGTTTGTGTGTAACAGGCGTTACAGTGGGGAGAAGCCAGGGTCCAGAAGGCCAGCCCGCCAGCTCCTGCAGATGGCGCCGGCGCTACTGCTGCATGTCTCTCCTGCAGGAAGGGCACCACTGCCCCTCACTCCCACCCCTCTCCCAGTGCACAGGGGCTGTTCCTTTACAACATGGAAGATGGGCAGAAGGAAGGTGAGGGTCTCTCAGGCCCCCAAGGGAGAAGCTGGGACAAGAGAAAAGTGAGGAAGGTCACTGCTCAGCGGTGGAGGTGGTAACAATCTGCATCTTCACTGCTGCTGGGCTACCTATAGAGAAAGAGAACCAAGGGGTCAGAATTCCAGAGGACAGGAAGCTACCCAGTCTCAAGGGAATTCACTGATCGCCCACCCACCCAGTATGCAAAGCTAGGGACATAAAGCAAAGTTACAAGGTCTAGAATGGTTCTGCAGGAAGAGGTGGCATCGAGAAGAAAATAGTCCTACCTGCTGTGGGGTAGGCTCGGGTGCCCGGTTTGCCAGGCGGCTGAGAATGTTACGCTCTGACATCTGTAACCTCACAGCAACTGGGGGAATTCGGGCAATGGTAGCTGGGAGTCGAGTCACATCGGCTTTCATGTCACTCAGCAGTTCTTCCAGCTGTTTCAGAACTGCACAGGGAGAAAAAGAGGTGGTGAGCTGTGGTGGCCAAGACTGAGCTCCCTCTATCTTAGTGGACCAGCCCCCTGTCACTTCTCAGTGACTGTGATGTGTTAGTCTTCTGTCACCTGACCTCCATCATGTTCCAATTCCTATTCCTCATATTCCAGTTCCAACTGTCCATAATCCTGCGCTTTTTAGTCACCTAAACCTTCACTATCCCTTGCTATTACGGTATTTCCCCTTCTTGAGAAGCTTATTCCTGTTTTCTTTTCCCTTAATACTTCTCTACCTTCAGAATCTGTCTCCCACCTCCATTGTAACAGCATTCTTTTCCTCATTTCACCCTCCACCTCCTCATAACCTTTTACTTTAATTAGAAACAAAATGTTGAAAGGGGTCTAGAATTTGAAGGGATCTTTTATCACCTGAAGTTACCTCTAAAGTATCCCAAATGACACTATATTATTCTGCTTTGCTTTCCATCTCAAGAACCTGAATATATTTGAAGTTAAAATAGGTGGCCAGGGCCAGACATGGTGGATCCTCATGCCTATAATCCCAGCACTTCGGGAGGCCGAGGCAGGTGGATCACTTGAAGTCAGTTCAAGACCAGCTTGGCAAACATGGTGAAACCCTCTAATAAAAATACAAAAATGAGCCACAAGTGGTGCTGCATGCCTGTAGTCCCAGCTACTCAGGAGGCTGAGGCAGGAGAATCGCCTGAACACAGGAGGTAGAAGTGGCAGTGGGCCAAGTCCTCCCAAAGGGATGAGATTACAGGCCTGGGCCACTGTGCACAGCCGAGAACCATCTCTTAAAAAATAAAAGAAAAAAAAGGCTGTTTGGGAGGCTGGATCACCCAAGGTCAGGTGGGCGCCTGTAATCCCAGCTACTCAGGAGGCTGAGACAGGAAATTAAACTCCCAGGTGGAGTTTGCAGTGAGCTGAGATCGCACCACTACACTCCAGTCTGGGCGACAGAGTAAGACTCCGTCTCAAAAAAAAAAAAAGGAGGCAAAGAACTACTGTCTTTGATTGCCTCTAAGATATTAGCTTCCCAAGGATGGCAATGATCCCTAGTACCTCCTAAACTCCCAAAGAAGCTCTGAAAAAGCTTTGAAAACAGATATATATACATTGGGATGGGGTCAGATGAGGAAGGAAGCTGAATCAGCAGGAGGCAGGGGAGCCACTGGCTACCTTTGTGCAGGACTGCATTGGCTGGCTTGTTTCCTGCCATTGACTCCTTGGACAGGTGCTGATGACTTTCCGCCAAACACTCCACCTCAGCAAAGCGGGTGTTGAGGGCCATGGAAGGGTGAGAAGGGTCTTCTGACATGTTCAAGTAAGCAGCCCGACGCAGCTGTTCCTCAATCACCAGAGCCTGTTCTAAGAGCTGGACAAGGGATAAGAGGAAACGGGAGTTGGACTGGTAACTCACTTTGCTAGCTTCTGATTGGCTTCTCAGCGCACCTCATTGTTTCTCATGGTAATAAGAACCTATAAAGAACTTCATGGACCGCTCATTCCCATACCCAAGCCATTTAACTTGCCTTGTACCTTTTTTCTTTCCTTTTGAATGTCCTTGTTTTTAAAACTCTTTTAGGTTCTTATACAAAAATGATCCCGTTATTGACATTCTCACTCCCGTTTATCTGAAACTCAACCTTTCTAATAATACTGTGGCTTTTTGTTTCCTATGTACGTTTTGAAGTCACAGAATGATGTTTTCTGTACATGTTTTTTCTTCTCCCACGACATATCTTTTAAACGTTCCACTTATGTTGTATGCACATGCATGTTGTTGCTTCTGTTGCATAACGCTCCACAATATAAATACATGTTGTACCATGCATTCTCCTAATGCTGAACAATTTAGGTTGCATCTAGGCCCCCACCACCAAAGTCATACTGCAGAAACACTCTTGCACATGCCACCTGATGGAGCTGTATAGGGTTCTTTGAAATATATCCCAAGAGGCAGAATGCTGGTTCTTAAGTTACGAAAATATCTTTTTTGTGTGTTTGAGAGAGACAGAGTTTCGTTCTCATTGCCCCGGCTGGAGTGCAATGGCACGATCTCAGCTCACCGAAACCTCTGCCTCCTGGGTTCAAGCAGTTGTCCTGCCTCAGCCTCCTAAGTAGCTGGGATGACAGGCATACGCCACCACATCCAACTAATTTTGTATTTTTAGTAGAGACGGTGTTTCTCCCCGTTGGTCAGGCTGGTCTCGAACTCCGACCTCAGGTGATCCACCAGCCTCAGCCTCCCAAAGTGCTGGGGTTACGGGCCCAAGCCACCACACCCGGCCAGATTTTTAAAAATTACTTAAAAATATATATTCATAAAACGCATGACTCAATTAAGACATGAGAAGATTTCTCATACCTTCCCCCTCTTCTAGTATCAGCCAGCCCTTCTATGCAGATGCTCTGATGCTTCTGCTTCTCAAACATGTACCTTGAGCACTGGTTCTGATTCCACTAGTGTATGGTGATGTATGGTGATGGGGCTCAGTAGTGGGAGGGGTGCTGATTTATGAGAAATCCCGAATGACTTGTCTAAAATTTGTTATCATTCTTTTGTAGAAAAGAATGACAATTAACTTTCTCGGTGAGTCAGACTCAAAATGTTAGTTATTTTCCGTCTCACTCCTCTGTCCTCAAATCTACTAAGTCAGGAGTTGGCAAGCTACAGCCCGTGAGCCAGATCTGCCCCACCACCTGTTTTTATATAGCCCAAGAGCTAAGAATGGGTTTTACATTTTAAAATGGTTGGCAAAAAGTCAAAACAAAACTATTTCATGCCACTTCATGAGAATTATACAAAATTCAAATTGTAATATCCATAGATGAAATGTCATTGAAACACATCCTAACTTAATGGTTTATGTATCCCCTGTGGCTGCTTTCACACAACAAAGATGAAGTTGAGTGTGTGCAACAGAGACCTCATGTCCCACAGAGCATGAAGCCTCAGAGACCACATGTCCCACAGAGCCTGAAGCCTATCTAGCCATTTAATAGAAAAGGTTTGGCTGGGCGCAGTAGCTCACGCCTGTAATCCCAGCACTTTGGGAGGCCGAGGCGGGCAAATGACCTGAGGTCAGAGTTTAAGACCAGCCTGGCCAACATGGCAAAACCCCATCTCTACTAAAAATATAAAAATTAGCCAGGGATGGTGGCGGTACATGCCTTTAATACCACCTACTCAGGAGGCTGAGGCAGGAGAATTGCTTGGAGGCAGGAGAATCACGTGAATCCAGTAGGCGGAGTTTGCAGTGAGCCAGGAGATGGCGCCACACTGCACTCCAGCCTGGGCAACGGAGACTTCGTCTCAAAAAAAAAAAAAAGGTTTTATTAACCATTTTTGGTTTGGGGGGAAGGGCGAGGGGAGGGGAGGGGAGGGGAAAGGTTTACTGAACCCTACAGTAAATCACTAAGTCCAGTAAATTCTTTGGTGTTTTGTTTCCTTTATCTTTACCCTTTCATTTTCCACAACCAGCATCATAGCCCAGGCCCGTAACACTTCCTGACTGTATGATAGTTTTGTAATCTTATGAATGCTGTTTCCATTTCCCTTGGTCCTATCAAAACTCTGCTCACAGACTTTCAATGGCTGGCCATTAACCATAGGGTAAAGTCCAAACTCTCTTATCTGGTGCCAAAAACCCACCTACTGACCTCTAGCCCTTCTACCTTTCTCATTCCAACCAACCTCCCACCGTCACCCAATACAAATGTTTCCCTACAGCTCAACTGGGCTATTTGCTGTTTCCAGACATACTAAGCTTTGCTGCCTCATGTCTTTGCCCAACCTAATCCCTTTGTTCAGACACCATTCTATTCCTACCAAAAAATCTCTATCGCACTCCTCAAAACTTTATTCCAATGCCATCTTCTCCATAAAGTCATTCGTGAGTTCCCTCCCTACTCCAGTTCTCTCTGGAGAACTTTTTTTTTTTTTTTTAAGACATTGAGTGAGCTCCAGTGCCTAGGCTGGAGTGCAGTGGCACAATCTAGGCTCACTGCAACCTCCCAAGTAGCTGGGACTACAGTTGCACACCACCATGCCTAGCTAATTATTTTTTTTGTAGACATGGGGATTTGTCATGTTGCCCAAGCTAGTATCAAATTCCTGGACTCAAGCAATCAGCTCACCTCAGTCTTTTAAAATGCTTGGATTAGCCACTATACCTGGCCCTCTCTGGAGAACTTTCTTATGCCAACCAGCAATCTCTCTCCTGATATGCAGAATGACATTCATTTAATTACATGTGCTCCTACTTGAAACTGAAAGCTCCTTGACAACAGGTACCATGCTTTGTCTTTTTATTCCTGTGCACATCACTGCTTAGTACATAATAACTTGAAGGCTTATTAGTGTACATTATTAATGTACATCTCTTACTCCCCTGACTATACTTAGCATACGAGACAAGAGACACGTGTTTTTTTTTTGAGATGGAGTCTCGTTCTGTCCTCAGCCTAAAGTGCAGTGGTTCGATCTCAGCTCACTGCAATCTCCACCTCCTGGCTTCAAACAATTCTCCTGCATCAGCCTCGAATAGCTGGGATTACAGGCACCCACCGCCACAACTGGCTAATTTTTGTATTTTTAATAGAGACAGGCTTTCACCATGTTGGCCAGAATGGTCTCAAATTCCTGACATCAGGTGATCCACCCGCCTCAGCCTCCCAAAGTGCTGGGACTACAGGCATGCGCCAAAGAGACAGGTATTGTCTTCATGCTATCCCATTTGAGGGTCTGCATACAAGGTTCCTTCAATAAACATTTGGTGGTGGAACATGGTGGTTCATACCTGTAATCCCAGCACTTCGGGAGGCTGAGGTGGGTGGATCACCTGAGGTCAGGAGTTCAAAACCAGCCTGGCCAACATGATGAAACCTCATCTCTACTAAAAATACAAAAATTAGCCAGGTGTGGTAGCAGGCACCTGTAATCCCAGCTACTTGGGAGGCTGAGGCAGGAGAATCACTCGAAACCAGGAGGTAGAGATTGCAGCAAGCTGATATTGTGCCACTGCACTCCAGCCTAGGCAACAAGTGTGAAACTCTGTCTCAAAAAAATAAACATTTGCTGAATTTCTGAAGGAGACTCCTTTTAATGGGCACAGCTCTAGTGATTCTGAAAATAGAGCTATACTATTTTTTTTTTTTTGAGACAGAGACTCACTCCGTTGCCCAGGCTGAAGTGCAGTGGCACGATCTCAGCTCGCTGCAACCTCCACTTCCTGTGTTCAAGCGAGCCTCCTGCCTCAACCCCTCCAGTAGCTGGGACTACAGGCATGTACCACCATGCCCGGCTAACTTCTGTATTTTTAGTAGAGATGGGGTTTCTCCATTTGGCTAAGCTGGTCTCAAACTCCTGACCTCAGGTAATCTGCCCACCATGGCAAATTGCTGGGATTAGAGGTGTGAGCCACCGCACCTGGCTGAGCTGTACTTTTCTATCTAATCTTTGTAGCTACCCCACCCCTTATCCACACAGATATTTTTTTTTGGAAAGAGTTTGACTTTCGTTGCCCAGGCTGGAGTGCAATGGTAAGATCTCAGTTCACCACAAACTCCACCTCCCGGGTTCAAGCAATTCTCTTGCCTCAGCCTCCCGTAACAGGCATGCACCACTATGCCCAGCTAATTTTGTATTTTTAGTAGAGATGGGCTTTCTCCATGTTGGTCAGGCTGGTCTCAAACTCCTGACCTCAGATGATCCACCCACCTTGGTCTCCCAAAGTGCTGGATTTACAGGCATGAGCTACCATGCCTGGCCCCCACAGGTACTCTTTAACCCAGAAAAAAGAACCACGCTGGGCACAGTGGCTCACGCCTGTAATCCCAGCACTTTGGGAGGCCGAGACAGGAGGATTAATTGAGTCAGGAGTTCAAGACCAGCCCAGCCAACATGGTAAAACCCCATCTCTACTTAAAATACAAAAAATTAGCCGGGTGTGGTAGCAGGCACCTGTAATCCCAGCTATTCAGGAGGCTGAGGCAGGAGAATCACTTGAACCCAGGATGCAGAGGTTGCAGTGAGCTGAGATTGAGCCATTACACTCCAGCCTGGGCAACAGAGTGGTAGAGTGAGATTCTGCCTCAAAAAAAAAAAAAAAAAAGAGGCCGGGCGCGGTGGCTCAAGCCTGTAATCCCAGCACTTTGGGAGGCCGAGGCGGGTGGATCACGAGGTCAAGAGATCGAGACCATCCTGGTCAACATGGTGAAACCCCGTCTCTACCAAAAATACAAAAATTAGCTGGGCATGGTGGTGCATGCCTGTAGTCCCAGCT